TCCTTTGCACGCCTGCTGCCAGCTACTGCTTCAGAAATGCGATGAGGAGGGTCCTGAGTCAGCTTCTCAGCTGCTTCATCACGCTCCTCCCCTATCCCAAGCCCAAAACATCTCTCCTTTCGGTTGGCAGGAAACTTCACAGCAGCTTCGTCGCCCTGAGGCCACTCCTCCCACTCCATAGCAACGTTGCTTTCTTCCAAAGGCTTGGGAATGGCGGCGAACCTGATCAAAAGCCTAGGAAGGTCCCGAAGCGGGTGGCGCATGGGGCGGACGTTGCTCTTAGGGCTGCCTTTGAAACATTGATTCTCCGAGATGGAATCTGAGCCGTAGACTCGAACCCACTGCAAGATGCAACCGACCCGATACGTGAGTGCAGCAACCACAAAATTCGTAATGACAGGCAAGAGCTTATTGGCAGGTTTATCATTCATATCAACGCTTGCAGTTACAGTTGCGGTAGCAGGTGGCGCTTCTCCTACACCTGCTCCTGCTCCTTCATCCATCCCCCTTCTCTGCTGCAAGCGGTGCTTCCTGGCCACCTGAATAGCTGCCCTCTCTACCTGCACCTTGCTCGCAGTGTTCCCATCATGGAAATATAGCCCTGCATCCTTCCAGTGCTCTAGTTGAGATAAGACTGTGGTGACAGCAAGGGCGAAATCGGTCGCATTGACACCAGTCATGTGAATACCCTTGGGAGCACTGCTGCTCCTACTGCTGCTGCCAGAACTGCTGACGCTGCAACTGTTGCTTCTGCTGCCATTGTTACTGCCACCACCGCCACCAATGGTGCTGCTGCTGCTGCTGCTGCCCCCCTCACTGCAGTGGCTGCACCTGAACTCCCTCCCTCCCCCTTCTCCATCCTCCAGAATCCAACCCATGCCATCCACATACCTCTCCCACACACGCCCCTTCAGACGCTCCCGCCAACGCGAGTCCTTTGTAACCCTCGAGCACTTGCTAGCAACCCCGTCAATCTATACTTGCGCCTCAGCAGCCTCTCCGCAGCTCTCCCCCTCCCCTTTCCCTCCCCCATTGACATGCACCTCCTCAGCAGCCTTCTCCGCAGCTCTCCCCCTCCCCTTTCCCTCCCACATGCACCTCCTCAGCAGCCTTCTCCGCAGCTCTCCCCCTCCCCTTTCCCTCCCCATGCACCTCCTCAGCAGCCTTCTCCGCAGCTCTCCCCTCCCCTTTCCCTCCCCAATGCACCTCCTCAGCAGCCTTCTCCGCAGCTCTCCCCCTCCCCTTTCCCTCCCCATGCACCTCCTCAGCAGCCTTCTCCGCAGCTCTCCCCCTCCCCTTTCCCTCCCCATGCACCTCCTCAGCAGCCTTCTCCGCAGCTCTCCCCCTCCCCTTTCCCTCCCCATGCACCTCCTCAGCAGCCTTCTCCGCAGCTCTCCCCCTCCCCTTTCCCTCCCCATGCACCTCCTCAGCAGCCTTCTCCGCAGCTCTCCCCCTCCCTTTCCCTCCCATGCACCTCCTCAGCAGCCTTCTCCGCAGCTCTCCCCCTCCCCTTTCCCTCCCCATGCACCTCCTCAGCAGCCTTCTCCGCAGCTCTCCCCCTCCCCTTTCCCTCCCCATGCACCTCCTCAGCAGCCTTCTCCGCAGCTCTCCCCCTCCCCTTTCCCCTCCCCATGCACCTCCTCAGCAGCCTTCTCCGCAGCTCTCCCCCCTCCCCTTCCCCTCCACATGCACCTCCTCAGCAGCCTTCTCCGCAGCTCTCCCCCTCCCCTTTCCCTCCACATGCACCTCCTCAGCAGCCTTCCTCCGCAGACTCTCCCCCTTCCCTTTTTCCCTACCCCATGTGCACCTCCTCGCAGCCCTCTCCGCAGCTCTCCCCTCCCTTCCCTCCCCATGCACCTCCTCAGCAGCCTTCTCCGCAGCTCTCCCCCTCCCTTTCCCTCCACATGCACCTCCTCAGCAGCCTTCTCCGCAGCAGCCTCCCCCTCCCCTTTCCCTCCCCATGCACCTCCTCAGCAGCCTTCTCCGAGCTCTCCCCTCCCCTTTCCCTCCACATGCACCTCCTCAGCCAGCCTCTCCGCAGCTCTCCCCCTCCCCTTTCCCTCCACATGCACCTCCTCAGCAGCCTTCTCCGCAGCTCTCCCCCTCCCCTTTCTTCCCCCATGCACCTCCTCAGCAGCCTTCTCCGCAGCTCTCCCCCTCCCCTTCCCTCCCATGCACCTCCTCAGCAGCCTTCTCCGCAGCTCTCCCCTCCCCTTTCCCTCCACATGCACCTCCTCAGCAGCCTTCTCCGCAGCTCTCCCCCTCCCCTTTCCCTCCCCATGCACCTCCTCAGCAGCCTTCTCCGCAGCTCTCCCCCTCCCCTTTCCCTCCACATGCACCTCCTCAGCAGCCTTCTCCGCAGCTCTCCCCCTCCCCTTTCCCTCCCCATGCACCTCCTCAGCAGCCTTCTCCGCAGCTCTCCCCCTCCCCTTTCCCTCCCCATGCACCTCCTCAGCAGCCTTCTCCGCAGCTCTCCCCCTCCCCTTTCCCTCCCCATGCACCTCCTCAGCAGCCTTCTCCGCAGCTCTCCCCCTCCCCTTTCCTCCCCCATGCACCTCCTCAGCAGCCTTCTCCGCAGCTCTCCCCCTCCCTTTCCCTCCCCATGCACCTCCTCAGCAGCCTTCTCCGCAGCTCTCCCCCTCCCCTTTCCCTCCCCATGCACCTCCTCAGCAGCCTTCTCCGCAGCTCTCCCCCTCCCCTTTCCCTCCCCATGCACCTCCTCAGCAGCCTTCTCCGCAGCTCTCCCCCTCCCCTTTCCCTCCACATGCACCTCCTCAGCAGCCCTTCTCCGCAGCTCTCCCCCTCCCCTTTCCCTCCCCATGCACCTCCTCAGCAGCCTTCTCCGCAGCTCTCCCCCTCCCCTTTCCCTCCCCATGCACCTCCTCAGCAGCCTTCTTCCGCAGCTCTCCCCCTCCCCCTTTCCCTCCCCATGCACCTCCTCAGCAGCCTTCTCCGCAGCTCTCCCCCTCCCCTTTCCCTCCCCATGCACCTCCTCAGCAAGCCTTCTCCGCAGCTCTCCCCCTCCCCTTTCCCTCCCATGCACCTCCTCAGCAGCCTTCTCCGCAGCTCTCCCCCTCCCTTTCCCTCCCCATGCACCTCCTCAGCAGCCTTCTCCGCAGCTCTCCCCCTCCCCTTTCCTCCACATGCACCTCCTCAGCAGCCTTCTCCGCAGCTCTCCCCCTCCCCTTTCCCTCCCCATGCACCTCCTCAGCAGCCTTCTCCGCAGCTCTCCCCCTCCCCTTTCCCTCCCCATGCACCTCCTCAGCAGCCTTCTCCGCAGCTCTCCCCCTCCCCTTTCCCTCCCCATGCACCTCCTCAGCAGCCTTCTCCGCAGCTCTCCCCCTCCCCCTTTCCCTCCCCATGCACCTCCTCAGCAGCCTTCTCCGCAGCTCTCCCCCCTCCCCTTTCCCTCCCCATTGCACCTCCTCAGCAGCCTTCTCCGCAGCTCTCCCCCTCCCCTTTCCCTCCCCATGGCACCTCCTCAGCAGCCTTCTCCGCAGCTCTCCCCCCTCCCCTTTCCCTCCCCATGCACCTCCTCAGCAGCCTTCTCCGCAGCTCTCCCCCTCCCCTTTCCCTCCCCATGCACCTCCTCAGCAGCCTTCTCCGCAGCTCTCCCCCTCCCCTTTCCCTCCCCATGCACCTCCTCAGCAGCCTTCTCCGCAGCTCTCCCCCTCCCCTTTCCCTCCCCATGCACCTCCTCAGCAGCCTTCTCCGCAGCTCTCCCCCTCCCCTTTCCCTCCCCATTGCACCTCCTCAGCAGCCTTCTCCGCAGCTCTCCCCCTCCCCCCCCCTTCTCCTTCCCCCTCCCCATGCACCTCCTCAGCAGCCTTCTCCGCAGCTCTCCCCCTCCCCTTTCCCTCCCCATGCACCTCCTCAGCAGCCTTCTCCGCAGCTCTCCCCCTCCCCTTTCCCTCCACATGCACCTCCTCAGCAGCCTTCTCCGCAGCTCTCCCCCTCCCCTTTCCCCTCCCCATGCACCTCCTCAGCAGCCTTCTCCGCAGCTCTTCCCCCTCCCCTTTCCCTCCCCATGCACCTCCTCAGCAGCCTTCTCCGCAGCTCTCCCCCTCCCCCTTTCCCTCCACATGCACCTCCTCAGCAGCCTTCTCCGCAGCTCTCCCCCTCCCCTTTCCCTCCCCATGCACCTCCTCAGCAGCCTTCTCCGCAGCTCTCCCCCTCCCCTTTCCCTCCACATGCACCTCCTCAGCAGCCTTCTCCGCAGCTCTCCCCCTCCCCTTTCCCTCCACATGCACCTCCTCAGCAGCCTTCTCCGCAGCTCTCCCCCTCCCCTTTCCCTCCCCATGCACCTCCTCAGCAGCCTTCTCCGCAGCTCTCCCCCTCCCCTTTCCCTCCCACATGCACCTCCTCAGCAGCCCTTCTCCGCAGCTCTCCCCCTCCCCTTTCCCTCCACATGCACCTCCTCAGCAGCCTTCTCCGCAGCTCTCCCCCTCCCCTTTCCCTCCCCATGCACCTCCTCAGCAGCCTTCTCCGCAGCTCTCCCCCTCCCCTTTCCCTCCACATGCACCTCCTCAGCAGCCTTCTCCGCAGCTCTCCCCCTCCCCTTTCCCTCCACATGCACCTCCTCAGCAGCCTTCTCCGCAGCTCTCCCCCTCCCCTTTCCCTCCCCATGCACCTCCTCAGCAGCCTTCTCCGCAGCTCTCCCCCTCCCCTTTCCCTCCCCATGCACCTCCTCAGCAGCCTCTCCGCAGCTCTCCCCCTCCCCTTTCCCTCCCCATGCACCTCCTCAGCAGCCTTCTCCGCAGCTCTCCCCCTCCCCTTTCCCTCCCCATGCACCTCCTCAGCAGCCTTCTCCGCAGCTCTCCCCCTCCCCTTTCCCTCCCCATGCACCTCCTCAGCAGCCTTCTCCGCAGCTCTCCCCCTCCCCTTTCCCTCCCCATGCACCTCCTCAGCAGCCTTCTCCGCAGCTCTCCCCCTCCCCTTTTCCCTCCCCATGCACCTCCTCAGCAGCCTTCTCCGCAGCTCTCCCCCTCCCCTTTCCCTCCCCATGCACCTCCTCAGCAGCCTTCTCCGCAGCTCTCCCCCTCCCCTTTCCCTCCACATGCACCTCCTCAGCAGCCTTCTCCGCAGCTCTCCCCCTCCCCTTTCCCTCCCCATGCACCTCCTCAGCAGCCTTCTCCGCAGCTCTCCCCCTCCCCTTTCCCTCCCCATGCACCTCCTCAGCAGCCTTCTCCGCAGCTCTCCCCCTCCCCTTTCCCTCCACATGCACCTCCTCAGCAGCCTTCTCCGCAGCTCTCCCCCTCCCCTTTCCCTCCACATGCACCTCCTCAGCAGCCTTCTCCGCAGCTCTCCCCCTCCCCTTTCCCTCCCCATGCACCTCCTCAGCAGCCTTCTCCGCAGCTCTCCCCCTCCCCTTTCCCTCCACATGCACCTCCTCAGCAGCCTTCTCCGCAGCTCTCCCCCTCCCCTTTCCCTCCACATGCACCTCCTCAGCAGCCTTCTCCGCAGCTCTCCCCCTCCCCTTTCCCTCCCCATGCACCTCCTCAGCAGCCTTCTCCGCAGCTCTCCCCCTCCCCTTTCCCTCCCCATGCACCTCCTCAGCAGCCTTCTCCGCAGCTCTCCCCCTCCCCTTTCCCTCCACATGCACCTCCTCAGCAGCCTTCTCCGCAGCTCTCCCCCTCCCCTTTCCCTCCACATGCACCTCCTCAGCAGCCTTCTCCGCAGCTCTCCCCCTCCCCTTTCCCTCCCCATGCACCTCCTCAGCAGCCTTCTCCGCAGCTCTCCCCCTCCCCTTTCCCTCCACATGCACCTCCTCAGCAGCCTTCTCCGCAGCTCTCCCCCTCCCCTTTCCCTCCACATGCACCTCCTCAGCAGCCTTCTCCGCAGCTCTCCCCCTCCCCTTTCCCTCCCCATGCACCTCCTCAGCAGCCTTCTCCGCAGCTCTCCCCCTCCCCTTTCCCTCCCCATGCACCTCCTCAGCAGCCTTCTCCGCAGCTCTCCCCCTCCCCTTTCCCTCCACATGCACCTCCTCAGCAGCCTTCTCCGCAGCTCTCCCCCTCCCCTTTCCCTTCCCTCCACATGCACCTCCTCAGCAGCCTTCTCCGCAGCTCTCCCCCTCCCCTTTCCCTCCCCATGCACCTCCTCAGCAGCCTTCTCCGCAGCTCTCCCCCTCCCCTTTCCCTCCACATGCACCTCCTCAGCAGCCTTCTCCGCAGCTCTCCCCCTCCCCTTTCCCTCCACATGCACCTCCTCAGCAGCCTTCTCCGCAGCTCTCCCCCTCCCCTTTCCCTCCCCATGCACCTCCTCAGCAGCCTTCTCCGCAGCTCTCCCCCTCCCCTTTCCCTCCACATGCACCTCCTCAGCAGCCTTCTCCGCAGCTCTCCCCCTCCCCTTTCCCTCCACATGCACCTCCTCAGCAGCCTTCTCCGCAGCTCTCCCCCTCCCTTTCCCTCCACATGCACCTCCTCAGCAGCCTTCTCCGCAGCTCTCCCCCTCCCCTTTCCCTCCCCATGCACCTCCTCAGCAGCCTTCTCCGCAGCTCTCCCCCTCCCCTTTCCTCCACATGCACCTCCTCAGCAGCCTTCTCCGCAGCTCTCCCCCTCCCCTTTCCCTCCACATGCACCTCCTCAGCAGCCTTCTCCGCAGCTCTCCCCCTCCCCTTTCCCTCCCCATGCACCTCCTCAGCAGCCTTCTCCGCAGCTCTCCCCCCTCCCCTTTCCCTCCACATGCACCTCCTCAGCAGCCTTCTCCGCAGCTCTCCCCCTCCCCTTTCCCTCCACATGCACCTCCTCAGCAGCCTTCTCCGCAGCTCTCCCCCTCCCCTTTCCCTCCCCATGCACCTCCTCAGCAGCCTTCTCCGCAGCTCTCCCCCTCCCCTTTCCCTCCACATGCACCTCCTCAGCAGCCTTCTCCGCAGCTCTCCCCCTCCCCTTTCCCTCCACATGCACCTCCTCAGCAGCCTTCTCCGCAGCTCTCCCCCTCCCCTTTCCCTCCCCATGCACCTCCTCAGCAGCCTTCTCCGCAGCTCTCCCCCTCCCCTTTCCCTCCACATGCACCTCCTCAGCAGCCTTCTCCGCAGCTCTCCCCCTCCCCTTTCCCTCCACATGCACCTCCTCAGCAGCCTTCTCCGCAGCTCTCCCCCTCCCCTTTCCCTCCCTATGCACCTCCTCAGCAGCCTTCTCCGCAGCTCTCCCCCTCCCCTTTCCCTCCACATGCACCTCCTCAGCAGCCTTCTCCGCAGCTCTCCCCCTCCCCTTTCCCTCCACATGCACCTCCTCAGCAGCCTTCTCCGCAGCTCTCCCCCTCCCCTTTCCCTCCCCATGCACCTCCTCAGCAGCCTTCTCCGCAGCTCTCCCCCTCCCCTTTCCCTCCACATGCACCTCCTCAGCAGCCTTCTCCGCAGCTCTCCCCCTCCCCTTTCCCTCCACATGCACCTCCTCAGCAGCCTTCTCCGCAGCTCTCCCCCTCCCCTTTCCCTCCACATGCACCTCCTCAGCAGCCTTCTCCGCAGCTCTCCCCCTCCCCTTTCCCTCCACATGCACCTCCTCAGCAGCCTTCTCCGCAGCTCTCCCCCTCCCCTTTCCCTCCACATGCACCTCCTCAGCAGCCTTCTCCGCAGCTCTCCCCCTCCCCTTTCCCTCCACATGCACCTCCTCAGCAGCCTTCTCCGCAGCTCTCCCCCTCCCCTTTCCCTCCCCATGCACCTCCTCAGCAGCCTTCTCCGCAGCTCTCCCCCTCCCCTTTCCCTCCACATGCACCTCCTCAGCAGCCTTCTCCGCAGCTCTCCCCCTCCCCTTTCCCTCCACATGCACCTCCTCAGCAGCCTTCTCCGCAGCTCTCCCCCTCCCCTTTCCCTCCACATGCACCTCCTCAGCAGCCTTCTCCGCAGCTCTCCCCCTCCCCTTTCCCTCCCCATGCACCTCCTCAGCAGCCTTCTCCGCAGCTCTCCCCCTCCCCTTTCCCTCCACATGCACCTCCTCAGCAGCCTTCTCCGCAGCTCTCCCCCTCCCCTTTCCCTCCCCATGCACCTCCTCAGCAGCCTTCTCCGCAGCTCTCCCCCTCCCCTTTCCCTCCACATGCACCTCCTCAGCAGCCTTCTCCGCAGCTCTCCCCCTCCCCTTTCCCTCCACATGCACCTCCTCAGCAGCCTTCTCCGCAGCTCTCCCCCTCCCCTTTCCCTCCCCATGCACCTCCTCAGCAGCCTTCTCCGCAGCTCTCCCCCTCCCCTTTCCCTCCACATGCACCTCCTCAGCAGCCTTCTCCGCAGCTCTCCCCCTCCCCTTTCCCTCCACATGCACCTCCTCAGCAGCCTTCTCCGCAGCTCTCCCCCTCCCCTTTCCCTCCCCATGCACCTCCTCAGCAGCCTTCTCCGCAGCTCTCCCCCTCCCCTTTCCCTCCACATGCACCTCCTCAGCAGCCTTCTCCGCAGCTCTCCCCCTCCCCTTTCCCTCCACATGCACCTCCTCAGCAGCCTTCTCCGCAGCTCTCCCCCTCCCCTTTCCCTCCACATGCACCTCCTCAGCAGCCTTCTCCGCAGCTCTCCCCCTCCCCTTTCCCTCCCCATGCACCTCCTCAGCAGCCTTCTCCGCAGCTCTCCCCCTCCCCTTTCCCTCCACATGCACCTCCTCAGCAGCCTTCTCCGCAGCTCTCCCCCTCCCCTTTCCCTCCACATGCACCTCCTCAGCAGCCTTCTCCGCAGCTCTCCCCCTCCCCTTTCCCTCCCCATGCACCTCCTCAGCAGCCTTCTCCGCAGCTCTCCCCCTCCCCTTTCCCTCCACATGCACCTCCTCAGCAGCCTTCTCCGCAGCTCTCCCCCTCCCCTTTCCCTCCACATGCACCTCCTCAGCAGCCTTCTCCGCAGCTCTCCCCCTCCCCTTTCCCTCCCCATGCACCTCCTCAGCAGCCTTCTCCGCAGCTCTCCCCCTCCCCTTTCCCTCCACATGCACCTCCTCAGCAGCCTTCTCCGCAGCTCTCCCCCTCCCCTTTCCCTCCACATGCACCTCCTCAGCAGCCTTCTCCGCAGCTCTCCCCCTCCCCTTTCCCTCCCCATGCACCTCCTCAGCAGCCTTCTCCGCAGCTCTCCCCCTCCCCTTTCCCTCCACATGCACCTCCTCAGCAGCCTTCTCCGCAGCTCTCCCCCTCCCCTTTCCCTCCACATGCACCTCCTCAGCAGCCTTCTCCGCAGCTCTCCCCCTCCCCTTTCCCTCCCCATGCACCTCCTCAGCAGCCTTCTCCGCAGCTCTCCCCCTCCCCTTTCCCTCCACATGCACCTCCTCAGCAGCCTTCTCCGCAGCTCTCCCCCTCCCCTTTCCCTCCACATGCACCTCCTCAGCAGCCTTCTCCGCAGCTCTCCCCCTCCCCTTTCCCTCCCCATGCACCTCCTCAGCAGCCTTCTCCGCAGCTCTCCCCCTCCCCTTTCCCTCCACATGCACCTCCTCAGCAGCCTTCTCCGCAGCTCTCCCCCTCCCCTTTCCCTCCCCATGCACCTCCTCAGCAGCCTTCTCCGCAGCTCTCCCCCTCCCCTTTCCCTCCACATGCACCTCCTCAGCAGCCTTCTCCGCAGCTCTCCCCCTCCCCTTTCCCTCCACATGCACCTCCTCAGCAGCCTTCTCCGCAGCTCTCCCCCTCCCCTTTCCCTCCCCATGCACCTCCTCAGCAGCCTTCTCCGCAGCTCTCCCCCTCCCCTTTCCCTCCACATGCACCTCCTCAGCAGCCTTCTCCGCAGCTCTCCCCCTCCCCTTTCCCTCCACATGCACCTCCTCAGCAGCCTTCTCCGCAGCTCTCCCCCTCCCCTTTCCCTCCCCATGCACCTCCTCAGCAGCCTTCTCCGCAGCTCTCCCCCTCCCCTTTCCCTCCACATGCACCTCCTCAGCAGCCTTCTCCGCAGCTCTCCCCCTCCCCTTTCCCTCCACATGCACCTCCTCAGCAGCCTTCTCCGCAGCTCTCCCCCTCCCCTTTCCCTCCACATGCACCTCCTCAGCAGCCTTCTCCGCAGCTCTCCCCCTCCCCTTTCCCTCCCCATGCACCTCCTCAGCAGCCTTCTCCGCAGCTCTCCCCCTCCCCTTTCCCTCCACATGCACCTCCTCAGCAGCCTTCTCCGCAGCTCTCCCCCTCCCCTTTCCCTCCACATGCACCTCCTCAGCAGCCTTCTCCGCAGCTCTCCCCCTCCCCTTTCCCTCCCCATGCACCTCCTCAGCAGCCTTCTCCGCAGCTCTCCCCCTCCCCTTTCCCTCCACATGCACCTCCTCAGCAGCCTTCTCCGCAGCTCTCCCCCTCCCCTTTCCCTCCACATGCACCTCCTCAGCAGCCTTCTCCGCAGCTCTCCCCCTCCCCTTTCCCTCCCCATGCACCTCCTCAGCAGCCTTCTCCGCAGCTCTCCCCCTCCCCTTTCCCTCCACATGCACCTCCTCAGCAGCCTTCTCCGCAGCTCTCCCCCTCCCCTTTCCCTCCACATGCACCTCCTCAGCAGCCTTCTCCGCAGCTCTCCCCCTCCCCTTTCCCTCCCCATGCACCTCCTCAGCAGCCTTCTCCGCAGCTCTCCCCCTCCCCTTTCCCTCCCCATGCACCTCCTCAGCAGCCTTCTCCGCAGCTCTCCCCCTCCCCTTTCCCTCCACATGCACCTCCTCAGCAGCCTTCTCCGCAGCTCTCCCCCTCCCCTTTCCCTCCACATGCACCTCCTCAGCAGCCTTCTCCGCAGCTCTCCCCCTCCCCTTTCCCTCCACATGCACCTCCTCAGCAGCCTTCTCCGCAGCTCTCCCCCTCCCCTTTCCCTCCACATGCACCTCCTCAGCAGCCTTCTCCGCAGCTCTCCCCCTCCCCTTTCCCTCCACATGCACCTCCTCAGCAGCCTTCTCCGCAGCTCTCCCCCTCCCCTTTCCCTCCACATGCACCTCCTCAGCAGCCTTCTCCGCAGCTCTCCCCCTCCCCTTTCCCTCCCCATGCACCTCCTCAGCAGCCTTCTCCGCAGCTCTCCCCCTCCCCTTTCCCTCCCCATGCACCTCCTCAGCAGCCTTCTCCGCAGCTCTCCCCCTCCCCTTTCCCTCCACATGCACCTCCTCAGCAGCCTTCTCCGCAGCTCTCCCCCTCCCCTTTCCCTCCACATGCACCTCCTCAGCAGCCTTCTCCGCAGCTCTCCCCCTCCCCTTTCCCTCCCCATGCACCTCCTCAGCAGCCTTCTCCGCAGCTCTCCCCCTCCCCTTTCCCTCCCCATGCACCTCCTCAGCAGCCTTCTCCGCAGCTCTCCCCCTCCCCTTTCCCTCCACATGCACCTCCTCAGCAGCCTTCTCCGCAGCTCTCCCCCTCCCCTTTCCCTCCACATGCACCTCCTCAGCAGCCTTCTCCGCAGCTCTCCCCCTCCCCTTTCCCTCCACATGCACCTCCTCAGCAGCCTTCTCCGCAGCTCTCCCCCTCCCCTTTCCCTCCACATGCACCTCCTCAGCAGCCTTCTCCGCAGCTCTCCCCCTCCCCTTTCCCTCCACATGCACCTCCTCAGCAGCCTTCTCCGCAGCTCTCCCCCTCCCCTTTCCCTCCACATGCACCTCCTCAGCAGCCTTCTCCGCAGCTCTCCCCCTCCCCTTTCCCTCCACATGCACCTCCTCAGCAGCCTTCTCCGCAGCTCTCCCCCTCCCCTTTCCCTCCACATGCACCTCCTCAGCAGCCTTCTCCGCAGCTCTCCCCCTCCCCTTTCCCTCCCCATGCACCTCCTCAGCAGCCTTCTCCGCAGCTCTCCCCCTCCCCTTTCCCTCCACATGCACCTCCTCAGCAGCCTTCTCCGCAGCTCTCCCCCTCCCCTTTCCCTCCCCATGCACCTCCTCAGCAGCCTTCTCCGCAGCTCTCCCCCTCCCCTTTCCCTCCACATGCACCTCCTCAGCAGCCTTCTCCGCAGCTCTCCCCCTCCCCTTTCCCTCCACATGCACCTCCTCAGCAGCCTTCTCCGCAGCTCTCCCCCTCCCCTTTCCCTCCCCATGCACCTCCTCAGCAGCCTTCTCCGCAGCTCTCCCCCTCCCCTTTCCCTCCCCATGCACCTCCTCAGCAGCCTTCTCCGCAGCTCTCCCCCTCCCCTTTCCCTCCACATGCACCTCCTCAGCAGCCTTCTCCGCAGCTCTCCCCCTCCCCTTTCCCTCCACATGCACCTCCTCAGCAGCCTTCTCCGCAGCTCTCCCCCTCCCCTTTCCCTCCCCATGCACCTCCTCAGCAGCCTTCTCCGCAGCTCTCCCCCTCCCCTTTCCCTCCCCATGCACCTCCTCAGCAGCCTTCTCCGCAGCTCTCCCCCTCCCCTTTCCCTCCACATGCACCTCCTCAGCAGCCTTCTCCGCAGCTCTCCCCCTCCCCTTTCCCTCCACATGCACCTCCTCAGCAGCCTTCTCCGCAGCTCTCCCCCTCCCCTTTCCCTCCACATGCACCTCCTCAGCAGCCTTCTCCGCAGCTCTCCCCCTCCCCTTTCCCTCCACATGCACCTCCTCAGCAGCCTTCTCCGCAGCTCTCCCCCTCCCCTTTCCCTCCACATGCACCTCCTCAGCAGCCTTCTCCGCAGCTCTCCCCCTCCCCTTTCCCTCCACATGCACCTCCTCAGCAGCCTTCTCCGCAGCTCTCCCCCTCCCCTTTCCCTCCCCATGCACCTCCTCAGCAGCCTTCTCCGCAGCTCTCCCCCTCCCCTTTCCCTCCACATGCACCTCCTCAGCAGCCTTCTCCGCAGCTCTCCCCCTCCCCTTTCCCTCCCCATGCACCTCCTCAGCAGCCTTCTCCGCAGCTCTCCCCCTCCCCTTTCCCTCCACATGCACCTCCTCAGCAGCCTTCTCCGCAGCTCTCCCCCTCCCCTTTCCCTCCACATGCACCTCCTCAGCAGCCTTCTCCGCAGCTCTCCCCCTCCCCTTTCCCTCCCCATGCACCTCCTCAGCAGCCTTCTCCGCAGCTCTCCCCCTCCCCTTTCCCTCCCCATGCACCTCCTCAGCAGCCTTCTCCGCAGCTCTCCCCCTCCCCTTTCCCTCCACATGCACCTCCTCAGCAGCCTTCTCCGCAGCTCTCCCCCTCCCCTTTCCCTCCACATGCACCTCCTCAGCAGCCTTCTCCGCAGCTCTCCCCCTCCCCTTTCCCTCCCCATGCACCTCCTCAGCAGCCTTCTCCGCAGCTCTCCCCCTCCCCTTTCCCTCCCCATGCACCTCCTCAGCAGCCTTCTCCGCAGCTCTCCCCCTCCCCTTTCCCTCCACATGCACCTCCTCAGCAGCCTTCTCCGCAGCTCTCCCCCTCCCCTTTCCCTCCACATGCACCTCCTCAGCAGCCTTCTCCGCAGCTCTCCCCCTCCCCTTTCCCTCCACATGCACCTCCTCAGCAGCCTTCTCCGCAGCTCTCCCCCTCCCCTTTCCCTCCACATGCACCTCCTCAGCAGCCTTCTCCGCAGCTCTCCCCCTCCCCTTTCCCTCCACATGCACCTCCTCAGCAGCCTTCTCCGCAGCTCTCCCCCTCCCCTTTCCCTCCACATGCACCTCCTCAGCAGCCTTCTCCGCAGCTCTCCCCCTCCCCTTTCCCTCCCCATGCACCTCCTCAGCAGCCTTCTCCGCAGCTCTCCCCCTCCCCTTTCCCTCCACATGCACCTCCTCAGCAGCCTTCTCCGCAGCTCTCCCCCTCCCCTTTCCCTCCACATGCACCTCCTCAGCAGCCTTCTCCGCAGCTCTCCCCCTCCCCTTTCCCTCCCCATGCACCTCCTCAGCAGCCTTCTCCGCAGCTCTCCCCCTCCCCTTTCCCTCCCCATGCACCTCCTCAGCAGCCTTCTCCGCAGCTCTCCCCCTCCCCTTTCCCTCCACATGCACCTCCTCAGCAGCCTTCTCCGCAGCTCTCCCCCTCCCCTTTCCCTCCACATGCACCTCCTCAGCAGCCTTCTCCGCAGCTCTCCCCCTCCCCTTTCCCTCCCCATGCACCTCCTCAGCAGCCTTCTCCGCAGCTCTCCCCCTCCCCTTTCCCTCCCCATGCACCTCCTCAGCAGCCTTCTCCGCAGCTCTCCCCCTCCCCTTTCCCTCCACATGCACCTCCTCAGCAGCCTTCTCCGCAGCTCTCCCCCTCCCCTTTCCCTCCACATGCACCTCCTCAGCAGCCTTCTCCGCAGCTCTCCCCCTCCCCTTTCCCTCCCCATGCACCTCCTCAGCAGCCTTCTCCGCAGCTCTCCCCCTCCCCTTTCCCTCCACATGCACCTCCTCAGCAGCCTTCTCCGCAGCTCTCCCCCTCCCCTTTCCCTCCACATGCACCTCCTCAGCAGCCTTCTCCGCAGCTCTCCCCCTCCCCTTTCCCTCCCCATGCACCTCCTCAGCAGCCTTCTCCGCAGCTCTCCCCCTCCCCTTTCCCTCCCCATGCACCTCCTCAGCAGCCTTCTCCGCAGCTCTCCCCCTCCCCTTTCCCTCCACATGCACCTCCTCAGCAGCCTTCTCCGCAGCTCTCCCCCTCCCCTTTCCCTCCACATGCACCTCCTCAGCAGCCTTCTCCGCAGCTCTCCCCCTCCCCTTTCCCTCCACATGCACCTCCTCAGCAGCCTTCTCCGCAGCTCTCCCCCTCCCCTTTCCCTCCACATGCACCTCCTCAGCAGCCTTCTCCGCAGCTCTCCCCCTCCCCTTTCCCTCCACATGCACCTCCTCAGCAGCCTTCTCCGCAGCTCTCCCCCTCCCCTTTCCCTCCACATGCACCTCCTCAGCAGCCTTCTCCGCAGCTCTCCCCCTCCCCTTTCCCTCCACATGCACCTCCTCAGCAGCCTTCTCCGCAGCTCTCCCCCTCCCCTTTCCCTCCACATGCACCTCCTCAGCAGCCTTCTCCGCAGCTCTCCCCCTCCCCTTTCCCTCCCCATGCACCTCCTCAGCAGCCTTCTCCGCAGCTCTCCCCCTCCCCTTTCCCTCCACATGCACCTCCTCAGCAGCCTTCTCCGCAGCTCTCCCCCTCCCCTTTCCCTCCCCATGCACCTCCTCAGCAGCCTTCTCCGCAGCTCTCCCCCTCCCCTTTCCCTCCCCATGCACCTCCTCAGCAGCCTTCTCCGCAGCTCTCCCCCTCCCCTTTCCCTCCACATGCACCTCCTCAGCAGCCTTCTCCGCAGCTCTCCCCCTCCCCTTTCCCTCCACATGCACCTCCTCAGCAGCCTTCTCCGCAGCTCTCCCCCTCCCCTTTCCCTCCACATGCACCTCCTCAGCAGCCTTCTCCGCAGCTCTCCCCCTCCCCTTTCCCTCCACATGCACCTCCTCAGCAGCCTTCTCCGCAGCTCTCCCCCTCCCCTTTCCCTCCACATGCACCTCCTCAGCAGCCTTCTCCGCAGCTCTCCCCCTCCCCTTTCCCTCCACATGCACCTCCTCAGCAGCCTTCTCCGCAGCTCTCCCCCTCCCCTTTCCCTCCCCATGCACCTCCTCAGCAGCCTTCTCCGCAGCTCTCCCCCTCCCCTTTCCCTCCACATGCACCTCCTCAGCAGCCTTCTCCGCAGCTCTCCCCCTCCCCTTTCCCTCCACATGCACCTCCTCAGCAGCCTTCTCCGCAGCTCTCCCCCTCCCCTTTCCCTCCCCATGCACCTCCTCAGCAGCCTTCTCCGCAGCTCTCCCCCTCCCCTTTCCCTCCCCATGCACCTCCTCAGCAGCCTTCTCCGCAGCTCTCCCCCTCCCCTTTCCCTCCACATGCACCTCCTCAGCAGCCTTCTCCGCAGCTCTCCCCCTCCCCTTTCCCTCCACATGCACCTCCTCAGCAGCCTTCTCCGCAGCTCTCCCCCTCCCCTTTCCCTCCCCATGCACCTCCTCAGCAGCCTTCTCCGCAGCTCTCCCCCTCCCCTTTCCCTCCCCATGCACCTCCTCAGCAGCCTTCTCCGCAGCTCTCCCCCTCCCCTTTCCCTCCACATGCACCTCCTCAGCAGCCTTCTCCGCAGCTCTCCCCCTCCCCTTTCCCTCCACATGCACCTCCTCAGCAGCCTTCTCCGCAGCTCTCCCCCTCCCCTTTCCCTCCCCATGCACCTCCTCAGCAGCCTTCTCCGCAGCTCTCCCCCTCCCCTTTCCCTCCACATGCACCTCCTCAGCAGCCTTCTCCGCAGCTCTCCCCCTCCCCTTTCCCTCCACATGCACCTCCTCAGCAGCCTTCTCCGCAGCTCTCCCCCTCCCCTTTCCCTCCCCATGCACCTCCTCAGCAGCCTTCTCCGCAGCTCTCCCCCTCCCCTTTCCCTCCCCATGCACCTCCTCAGCAGCCTTCTCCGCAGCTCTCCCCCTCCCCTTTCCCTCCACATGCACCTCCTCAGCAGCCTTCTCCGCAGCTCTCCCCCTCCCCTTTCCCTCCACATGCACCTCCTCAGCAGCCTTCTCCGCAGCTCTCCCCCTCCCCTTTCCCTCCACATGCACCTCCTCAGCAGCCTTCTCCGCAGCTCTCCCCCTCCCCTTTCCCTCCACATGCACCTCCTCAGCAGCCTTCTCCGCAGCTCTCCCCCTCCCCTTTCCCTCCACATGCACCTCCTCAGCAGCCTTCTCCGCAGCTCTCCCCCTCCCCTTTCCCTCCACATGCACCTCCTCAGCAGCCTTCTCCGCAGCTCTCCCCCTCCCCTTTCCCTCCACATGCACCTCCTCAGCAGCCTTCTCCGCAGCTCTCCCCCTCCCCTTTCCCTCCACATGCACCTCCTCAGCAGCCTTCTCCGCAGCTCTCCCCCTCCCCTTTCCCTCCACATGCACCTCCTCAGCAGCCTTCTCCGCAGCTCTCCCCCTCCCCTTTCCCTCCACATGCACCTCCTCAGCAGCCTTCTCCGCAGCTCTCCCCCTCCCCTTTCCCTCCCCATGCACCTCCTCAGCAGCCTTCTCCGCAGCTCTCCCCCTCCCCTTTCCCTCCACATGCACCGCCTCAGCAGCCTTCTCCGCAGCTCTCCCCCTCCCCTTTCCCTCCACATGCACCTCCTCAGCAGCCTTCTCCGCAGCTCTCCCCCTCCCCTTTCCCTCCCCATGCACCTCCTCAGCAGCCTTCTCCGCAGCTCTCCCCCTCCCCTTTCCCTCCCCATGCACCTCCTCAGCAGCCTTCTCCGCAGCTCTCCCCCTCCCCTTTCCCTCCACATGCACCTCCTCAGCAGCCTTCTCCGCAGCTCTCCCCCTCCCCTTTCCCTCCACATGCACCTCCTCAGCAGCCTTCTCCGCAGCTCTCCCCCTCCCCTTTCCCTCCACATGCACCTCCTCAGCAGCCTTCTCCGCAGCTCTCCCCCTCCCCTTTCCCTCCACATGCACCTCCTCAGCAGCCTTCTCCGCAGCTCTCCCCCTCCCCTTTCCCTCCACATGCACCTCCTCAGCAGCCTTCTCCGCAGCTCTCCCCCTCCCCTTTCCCTCCCCATGCACCTCCTCAGCAGCCTTCTCCGCAGCTCTCCCCCTCCCCTTTCCCTCCACATGCACCTCCTCAGCAGCCTTCTCCGCAGCTCTCCCCCTCCCCTTTCCCTCCACATGCACCTCCTCAGCAGCCTTCTCCGCAGCTCTCCCCCTCCCCTTTCCCTCCCCATGCACCTCCTCAGCAGCCTTCTCCGCAGCTCTCCCCCTCCCCTTTCCCTCCCCATGCACCTCCTCAGCAGCCTTCTCCGCAGCTCTCCCCCTCCCCTTTCCCTCCACATGCACCTCCTCAGCAGCCTTCTCCGCAGCTCTCCCCCTCCCCTTTCCCTCCACATGCACCTCCTCAGCAGCCTTCTCCGCAGCTCTCCCCCTCCCCTTTCCCTCCACATGCACCTCCTCAGCAGCCTTCTCCGCAGCTCTCCCCCTCCCCTTTCCCTCCACATGCACCTCCTCAGCAGCCTTCTCCGCAGCTCTCCCCCTCCCCTTTCCCTCCACATGCACCTCCTCAGCAGCCTTCTCCGCAGCTCTCCCCCTCCCCTTTCCCTCCACATGCACCTCCTCAGCAGCCTTCTCCGCAGCTCTCCCCCTCCCCTTTCCCTCCACATGCACCTCCTCAGCAGCCTTCTCCGCAGCTCTCCCCCTCCCCTTTCCCTCCACATGCACCTCCTCAGCAGCCTTCTCCGCAGCTCTCCCCCTCCCCTTTCCCTCCACATGCACCTCCTCAGCAGCCTTCTCCGCAGCTCTCCCCCTCCCCTTTCCCTCCACATGCACCTCCTCAGCAGCCTTCTCCGCAGCTCTCCCCCTCCCCTTTCCCTCCCCATGCACCTCCTCAGCAGCCTTCTCCGCAGCTCTCCCCCTCCCCTTTCCCTCCCCATGCACCTCCTCAGCAGCCTTCTCCGCAGCTCTCCCCCTCCCCTTTCCCTCCACATGCACCTCCTCAGCAGCCTTCTCCGCAGCTCTCCCCCTCCCCTTTCCCTCCCCATGCACCTCCTCAGCAGCCTTCTCCGCAGCTCTCCCCCTCCCCTTTCCCTCCACATGCACCTCCTCAGCAGCCTTCTCCGCAGCTCTCCCCCTCCCCTTTCCCTCCACATGCACCTCCTCAGCAGCCTTCTCCGCAGCTCTCCCCCTCCCCTTTCCCTCCACATGCACCTCCTCAGCAGCCTTCTCCGCAGCTCTCCCCCTCCCCTTTCCCTCCCCATGCACCTCCTCAGCAGCCTTCTCCGCAGCTCTCCCCCTCCCCTTTCCCTCCACATGCACCTCCTCAGCAGCCTTCTCCGCAGCTCTCCCCCTCCCCTTTCCCTCCACATGCACCTCCTCAGCAGCCTTCTCCGCAGCTCTCCCCCTCCCCTTTCCCTCCCCATGCACCTCCTCAGCAGCCTTCTCCGCAGCTCTCCCCCTCCCCTTTCCCTCCCCATGCACCTCCTCAGCAGCCTTCTCCGCAGCTCTCCCCCTCCCCTTTCCCTCCACATGCACCTCCTCAGCAGCCTTCTCCGCAGCTCTCCCCCTCCCCTTTCCCTCCACATGCACCTCCTCAGCAGCCTTCTCCGCAGCTCTCCCCCTCCCCTTTCCCTCCACATGCACCTCCTCAGCAGCCTTCTCCGCAGCTCTCCCCCTCCCCTTTCCCTCCACATGCACCTCCTCAGCAGCCTTCTCCGCAGCTCTCCCCCTCCCCTTTCCCTCCACATGCACCTCCTCAGCAGCCTTCTCCGCAGCTCTCCCCCTCCCCTTTCCCTCCACATGCACCTCCTCAGCAGCCTTCTCCGCAGCTCTCCCCCTCCCCTTTCCCTCCACATGCACCTCCTCAGCAGCCTTCTCCGCAGCTCTCCCCCTCCCCTTTCCCTCCACATGCACCTCCTCAGCAGCCTTCTCCGCAGCTCTCCCCCTCCCCTTTCCCTCCACATGCACCTCCTCAGCAGCCTTCTCCGCAGCTCTCCCCCTCCCCTTTCCCTCCACATGCACCTCCTCAGCAGCCTTCTCCGCAGCTCTCCCCCTCCCCTTTCCCTCCCCATGCACCTCCTCAGCAGCCTTCTCCGCAGCTCTCCCCCTCCCCTTTCCCTCCCCATGCACCTCCTCAGCAGCCTTCTCCGCAGCTCTCCCCCTCCCCTTTCCCTCCACATGCACCTCCTCAGCAGCCTTCTCCGCAGCTCTCCCCCTCCCCTTTCCCTCCACATGCACCTCCTCAGCAGCCTTCTCCGCAGCTCTCCCCCTCCCCTTTCCCTCCACATGCACCTCCTCAGCAGCCTTCTCCGCAGCTCTCCCCCTCCCCTTTCCCTCCACATGCACCTCCTCAGCAGCCTTCTCCGCAGCTCTCCCCCTCCCCTTTCCCTCCACATGCACCTCCTCAGCAGCCTTCTCCGCAGCTCTCCCCCTCCCCTTTCCCTCCCCATGCACCTCCTCAGCAGCCTTCTCCGCAGCTCTCCCCCTCCCCTTTCCCTCCACATGCACCTCCTCAGCAGCCTTCTCCGCAGCTCTCCCCCTCCCCTTTCCCTCCACATGCACCTCCTCAGCAGCCTTCTCCGCAGCTCTCCCCCTCCCCTTTCCCTCCCCATGCACCTCCTCAGCAGCCTTCTCCGCAGCTCTCCCCCTCCCCTTTCCCTCCCCATGCACCTCCTCAGCAGCCTTCTCCGCAGCTCTCCCCCTCCCCTTTCCCTCCCCATGCACCTCCTCAGCAGCCTTCTCCGCAGCTCTCCCCCTCCCCTTTCCCTCCACATGCACCTCCTCAGCAGCCTTCTCCGCAGCTCTCCCCCTCCCCTTTCCCTCCACATGCACCTCCTCAGCAGCCTTCTCCGCAGCTCTCCCCCTCCCCTTTCCCTCCACATGCACCTCCTCAGCAGCCTTCTCCGCAGCTCTCCCCCTCCCCTTTCCCTCCACATGCACCTCCTCAGCAGCCTTCTCCGCAGCTCTCCCCCTCCCCTTTCCCTCCACATGCACCTCCTCAGCAGCCTTCTCCGCAGCTCTCCCCCTCCCCTTTCCCTCCACATGCACCTCCTCAGCAGCCTTCTCCGCAGCTCTCCCCCTCCCCTTTCCCTCCACATGCACCTCCTCAGCAGCCTTCTCCGCAGCTCTCCCCCTCCCCTTTCCCTCCACATGCACCTCCTCAGCAGCCTTCTCCGCAGCTCTCCCCCTCCCCTTTCCCTCCACATGCACCTCCTCAGCAGCCTTCTCCGCAGCTCTCCCCCTCCCCTTTCCCTCCACATGCACCTCCTCAGCAGCCTTCTCCGCAGCTCTCCCCCTCCCCTTTCCCTCCACATGCACCTCCTCAGCAGCCTTCTCCGCAGCTCTCCCCCTCCCCTTTCCCTCCACATGCACCTCCTCAGCAGCCTTCTCCGCAGCTCTCCCCCTCCCCTTTCCCTCCACATGCACCTCCTCAGCAGCCTTCTCCGCAGCTCTCCCCCTCCCCTTTCCCTCCCCATGCACCTCCTCAGCAGCCTTCTCCGCAGCTCTCCCCCTCCCCTTTCCCTCCACATGCACCTCCTCAGCAGCCTTCTCCGCAGCTCTCCCCCTCCCCTTTCCCTCCACATGCACCTCCTCAGCAGCCTTCTCCGCAGCTCTCCCCCTCCCCTTTCCCTCCACATGCACCTCCTCAGCAGCCTTCTCCGCAGCTCTCCCCCTCCCCTTTCCCTCCACATGCACCTCCTCAGCAGCCTTCTCCGCAGCTCTCCCCCTCCCCTTTCCCTCCACATGCACCTCCTCAGCAGCCTTCTCCGCAGCTCTCCCCCTCCCCTTTCCCTCCCCATGCACCTCCTCAGCAGCCTTCTCCGCAGCTCTCCCCCTCCCCTTTCCCTCCCCATGCACCTCCTCAGCAGCCTTCTCCGCAGCTCTCCCCCTCCCCTTTCCCTCCCCATGCACCTCCTCAGCAGCCTTCTCCGCAGCTCTCCCCCTCCCCTTTCCCTCCCCATGCACCTCCTCAGCAGCCTTCTCCGCAGCTCTCCCCCTCCCCTTTCCCTCCCCATGCACCTCCTCAGCAGCCTTCTCCGCAGCTCTCCCCCTCCCCTTTCCCTCCCCATGCACCTCCTCAGCAGCCTTCTCCGCAGCTCTCCCCCTCCCCTTTCCCTCCACATGCACCTCCTCAGCAGCCTTCTCCGCAGCTCTCCCCCTCCCCTTTCCCTCCACATGCACCTCCTCAGCAGCCTTCTCCGCAGCTCTCCCCCTCCCCTTTCCCTCCCCATGCACCTCCTCAGCAGCCTTCTCCGCAGCTCTCCCCCTCCCCTTTCCCTCCACATGCACCTCCTCAGCAGCCTTCTCCGCAGCTCTCCCCCTCCCCTTTCCCTCCACATGCACCTCCTCAGCAGCCTTCTCCGCAGCTCTCCCCCTCCCCTTTCCCTCCACATGCACCTCCTCAGCAGCCTTCTCCGCAGCTCTCCCCCTCCCCTTTCCCTCCACATGCACCTCCTCAGCAGCCTTCTCCGCAGCTCTCCCCCTCCCCTTTCCCTCCACATGCACCTCCTCAGCAGCCTTCTCCGCAGCTCTCCCCCTCCCCTTTCCCTCCCCATGCACCTCCTCAGCAGCCTTCTCCGCAGCTCTCCCCCTCCCCTTTCCCTCCCCATGCACCTCCTCAGCAGCCTTCTCCGCAGCTCTCCCCCTCCCCTTTCCCTCCCCATGCACCTCCTCAGCAGCCTTCTCCGCAGCTCTCCCCCTCCCCTTTCCCTCCCCATGCACCTCCTCAGCAGCCTTCTCCGCAGCTCTCCCCCTCCCCTTTCCCTCCCCATGCACCTCCTCAGCAGCCTTCTCCGCAGCTCTCCCCCTCCCCTTTCCCTCCCCATGCACCTCCTCAGCAGCCTTCTCCGCAGCTCTCCCCCTCCCCTTTCCCTCCACATGCACCTCCTCAGCAGCCTTCTCCGCAGCTCTCCCCCTCCCCTTTCCCTCCACATGCACCTCCTCAGCAGCCTTCTCCGCAGCTCTCCCCCTCCCCTTTCCCTCCCCATGCACCTCCTCAGCAGCCTTCTCCGCAGCTCTCCCCCTCCCCTTTCCCTCCCCATGCACCTCCTCAGCAGCCTTCTCCGCAGCTCTCCCCCTCCCCTTTCCCTCCACATGCACCTCCTCAGCAGCCTTCTCCGCAGCTCTCCCCCTCCCCTTTCCCTCCACATGCACCTCCTCAGCAGCCTTCTCCGCAGCTCTCCCCCTCCCCTTTCCCTCCCCATGCACCTCCTCAGCAGCCTTCTCCGCAGCTCTCCCCCTCCCCTTTCCCTCCACATGCACCTCCTCAGCAGCCTTCTCCGCAGCTCTCCCCCTCCCCTTTCCCTCCACATGCACCTCCTCAGCAGCCTTCTCCGCAGCTCTCCCCCTCCCCTTTCCCTCCACATGCACCTCCTCAGCAGCCTTCTCCGCAGCTCTCCCCCTCCCCTTTCCCTCCCCATGCACCTCCTCAGCAGCCTTCTCCGCAGCTCTCCCCCTCCCCTTTCCCTCCCCATGCACCTCCTCAGCAGCCTTCTCCGCAGCTCTCCCCCTCCCCTTTCCCTCCACATGCACCTCCTCAGCAGCCTTCTCCGCAGCTCTCCCCCTCCCCTTTCCCTCCACATGCACCTCCTCAGCAGCCTTCTCCGCAGCTCTCCCCCTCCCCTTTCCCTCCCCATGCACCTCCTCAGCAGCCTTCTCCGCAGCTCTCCCCCTCCCCTTTCCCTCCACATGCACCTCCTCAGCAGCCTTCTCCGCAGCTCTCCCCCTCCCCTTTCCCTCCACATGCACCTCCTCAGCAGCCTTCTCCGCAGCTCTCCCCCTCCCCTTTCCCTCCCCATGCACCTCCTCAGCAGCCTTCTCCGCAGCTCTCCCCCTCCCCTTTCCCTCCACATGCACCTCCTCAGCAGCCTTCTCCGCAGCTCTCCCCCTCCCCTTTCCCTCCACATGCACCTCCTCAGCAGCCTTCTCCGCAGCTCTCCCCCTCCCCTTTCCCTCCCCATGCACCTCCTCAGCAGCCTTCTCCGCAGCTCTCCCCCTCCCCTTTCCCTCCACATGCACCTCCTCAGCAGCCTTCTCCGCAGCTCTCCCCCTCCCCTTTCCCTCCACATGCACCTCCTCAGCAGCCTTCTCCGCAGCTCTCCCCCTCCCCTTTCCCTCCACATGCACCTCCTCAGCAGCCTTCTCCGCAGCTCTCCCCCTCCCCTTTCCCTCTCCATGCACCTCCTCAGCAGCCTTCTCCGCAGCTCTCCCCCTCCCCTTTCCCTCCACATGCACCTCCTCAGCAGCCTTCTCCGCAGCTCTCCCCCTCCCCTTTCCCTCCCCATGCACCTCCTCAGCAGCCTTCTCCGCAGCTCTCCCCCTCCCCTTTCCCTCCACATGCACCTCCTCAGCAGCCTTCTCCGCAGCTCTCCCCCTCCCCTTTCCCTCCCCATGCACCTCCTCAGCAGCCTTCTCCGCAGCTCTCCCCCTCCCCTTTCCCTCCACATGCACCTCCTCAGCAGCCTTCTCCGCAGCTCTCCCCCTCCCCTTTCCCTCCACATGCACCTCCTCAGCAGCCTTCTCCGCAGCTCTCCCCCTCCCCTTTCCCTCCACATGCACCTCCTCAGCAGCCTTCTCCGCAGCTCTCCCCCTCCCCTTTCCCTCCACATGCACCTCCTCAGCAGCCTTCTCCGCAGCTCTCCCCCTCCCCTTTCCCTCCACATGCACCTCCTCAGCAGCCTTCTCCGCAGCTCTCCCCCTCCCCTTTCCCTCCCCATGCACCTCCTCAGCAGCCTTCTCCGCAGCTCTCCCCCTCCCCTTTCCCTCCCCATGCACCTCCTCAGCAGCCTTCTCCGCAGCTCTCCCCCTCCCCTTTCCCTCCCCATGCACCTCCTCAGCAGCCTTCTCCGCAGCTCTCCCCCTCCCCTTTCCCTCCCCATGCACCTCCTCAGCAGCCTTCTCCGCAGCTCTCCCCCTCCCCTTTCCCTCCCCATGCACCTCCTCAGCAGCCTTCTCCGCAGCTCTCCCCCTCCCCTTTCCCTCCCCATGCACCTCCTCAGCAGCCTTCTCCGCAGCTCTCCCCCTCCCCTTTCCCTCCACATGCACCTCCTCAGCAGCCTTCTCCGCAGCTCTCCCCCTCCCCTTTCCCTCCACATGCACCTCCTCAGCAGCCTTCTCCGCAGCTCTCCCCCTCCCCTTTCCCTCCCCATGCACCTCCTCAGCAGCCTTCTCCGCAGCTCTCCCCCTCCCCTTTCCCTCCCCATGCACCTCCTCAGCAGCCTTCTCCGCAGCTCTCCCCCTCCCCTTTCCCTCCACATGCACCTCCTCAGCAGCCTTCTCCGCAGCTCTCCCCCTCCCCTTTCCCTCCACATGCACCTCCTCAGCAGCCTTCTCCGCAGCTCTCCCCCTCCCCTTTCCCTCCCCATGCACCTCCTCAGCAGCCTTCTCCGCAGCTCTCCCCCTCCCCTTTCCCTCCACATGCACCTCCTCAGCAGCCTTCTCCGCAGCTCTCCCCCTCCCCTTTCCCTCCACATGCACCTCCTCAGCAGCCTTCTCCGCAGCTCTCCCCCTCCCCTTTCCCTCCACATGCACCTCCTCAGCAGCCTTCTCCGCAGCTCTCCCCCTCCCCTTTCCCTCCCCATGCACCTCCTCAGCAGCCTTCTCCGCAGCTCTCCCCCTCCCCTTTCCCTCCCCATGCACCTCCTCAGCAGCCTTCTCCGCAGCTCTCCCCCTCCCCTTTCCCTCCACATGCACCTCCTCAGCAGCCTTCTCCGCAGCTCTCCCCCTCCCCTTTCCCTCCACATGCACCTCCTCAGCAGCCTTCTCCGCAGCTCTCCCCCTCCCCTTTCCCTCCCCATGCACCTCCTCAGCAGCCTTCTCCGCAGCTCTCCCCCTCCCCTTTCCCTCCACATGCACCTCCTCAGCAGCCTTCTCCGCAGCTCTCCCCCTCCCCTTTCCCTCCACATGCACCTCCTCAGCAGCCTTCTCCGCAGCTCTCCCCCTCCCCTTTCCCTCCCCATGCACCTCCTCAGCAGCCTTCTCCGCAGCTCTCCCCCTCCCCTTTCCCTCCACATGCACCTCCTCAGCAGCCTTCTCCGCAGCTCTCCCCCTCCCCTTTCCCTCCACATGCACCTCCTCAGCAGCCTTCTCCGCAGCTCTCCCCCTCCCCTTTCCCTCCCCATGCACCTCCTCAGCAGCCTTCTCCGCAGCTCTCCCCCTCCCCTTTCCCTCCACATGCACCTCCTCAGCAGCCTTCTCCGCAGCTCTCCCCCTCCCCTTTCCCTCCACATGCACCTCCTCAGCAGCCTTCTCCGCAGCTCTCCCCCTCCCCTTTCCCTCCACATGCACCTCCTCAGCAGCCTTCTCCGCAGCTCTCCCCCTCCCCTTTCCCTCCACATGCACCTCCTCAGCAGCCTTCTCCGCAGCTCTCCCCCTCCCCTTTCCCTCCACATGCACCTCCTCAGCAGCCTTCTCCGCAGCTCTCCCCCTCCCCTTTCCCTCCCCATGCACCTCCTCAGCAGCCTTCTCCGCAGCTCTCCCCCTCCCCTTTCCCTCCACATGCACCTCCTCAGCAGCCTTCTCCGCAGCTCTCCCCCTCCCCTTTCCCTCCACATGCACCTCCTCAGCAGCCTTCTCCGCAGCTCTCCCCCTCCCCTTTCCCTCCCCATGCACCTCCTCAGCAGCCTTCTCCGCAGCTCTCCCCCTCCCCTTTCCCTCCACATGCACCTCCTCAGCAGCCTTCTCCGCAGCTCTCCCCCTCCCCTTTCCCTCCACATGCACCTCCTCAGCAGCCTTCTCCGCAGCTCTCCCCCTCCCCTTTCCCTCCCCATGCACCTCCTCAGCAGCCTTCTCCGCAGCTCTCCCCCTCCCCTTTCCCTCCACATGCACCTCCTCAGCAGCCTTCTCCGCAGCTCTCCCCCTCCCCTTTCCCTCCACATGCACCTCCTCAGCAGCCTTCTCCGCAGCTCTCCCCCTCCCCTTTCCCTCCCCATGCACCTCCTCAGCAGCCTTCTCCGCAGCTCTCCCCCTCCCCTTTCCCTCCACATGCACCTCCTCAGCAGCCTTCTCCGCAGCTCTCCCCCTCCCCTTTCCCTCCACATGCACCTCCTCAGCAGCCTTCTCCGCAGCTCTCCCCCTCCCCTTTCCCTCCACATGCACCTCCTCAGCAGCCTTCTCCGCAGCTCTCCCCCTCCCCTTTCCCTCCACATGCACCTCCTCAGCAGCCTTCTCCGCAGCTCTCCCCCTCCCCTTTCCCTCCCCATGCACCTCCTCAGCAGCCTTCTCCGCAGCTCTCCCCCTCCCCTTTCCCTCCACATGCACCTCCTCAGCAGCCTTCTCCGCAGCTCTCCCCCTCCCCTTTCCCTCCACATGCACCTCCTCAGCAGCCTTCTCCGCAGCTCTCCCCCTCCCCTTTCCCTCCCCATGCACCTCCTCAGCAGCCTTCTCCGCAGCTCTCCCCCTCCCCTTTCCCTCCACATGCACCTCCTCAGCAGCCTTCTCCGCAGCTCTCCCCCTCCCCTTTCCCTCCACATGCACCTCCTCAGCAGCCTTCTCCGCAGCTCTCCCCCTCCCCTTTCCCTCCCCATGCACCTCCTCAGCAGCCTTCTCCGCAGCTCTCCCCCTCCCCTTTCCCTCCACATGCACCTCCTCAGCAGCCTTCTCCGCAGCTCTCCCCCTCCCCTTTCCCTCCACATGCACCTCCTCAGCAGCCTTCTCCGCAGCTCTCCCCCTCCCCTTTCCCTCCACATGCACCTCCTCAGCAGCCTTCTCCGCAGCTCTCCCCCTCCCCTTTCCCTCCACATGCACCTCCTCAGCAGCCTTCTCCGCAGCTCTCCCCCTCCCCTTTCCCTCCACATGCACCTCCTCAGCAGCCTTCTCCGCAGCTCTCCCCCTCCCCTTTCCCTCCACATGCACCTCCTCAGCAGCCTTCTCCGCAGCTCTCCCCCTCCCCTTTCCCTCCCCATGCACCTCCTCAGCAGCCTTCTCCGCAGCTCTCCCCCTCCCCTTTCCCTCCACATGCACCTCCTCAGCAGCCTTCTCCGCAGCTCTCCCCCTCCCCTTTCCCTCCACATGCACCTCCTCAGCAGCCTTCTCCGCAGCTCTCCCCCTCCCCTTTCCCTCCCCATGCACCTCCTCAGCAGCCTTCTCCGCAGCTCTCCCCCTCCCCTTTCCCTCCACATGCACCTCCTCAGCAGCCTTCTCCGCAGCTCTCCCCCTCCCCTTTCCCTCCACATGCACCTCCTCAGCAGCCTTCTCCGCAGCTCTCCCCCTCCCCTTTCCCTCCCCATGCACCTCCTCAGCAGCCTTCTCCGCAGCTCTCCCCCTCCCCTTTCCCTCCACATGCACCTCCTCAGCAGCCTTCTCCGCAGCTCTCCCCCTCCCCTTTCCCTCCACATGCACCTCCTCAGCAGCCTTCTCCGCAGCTCTCCCCCTCCCCTTTCCCTCCCCATGCACCTCCTCAGCAGCCTTCTCCGCAGCTCTCCCCCTCCCCTTTCCCTCCACATGCACCTCCTCAGCAGCCTTCTCCGCAGCTCTCCCCCTCCCCTTTCCCTCCACATGCACCTCCTCAGCAGCCTTCTCCGCAGCTCTCCCCCTCCCCTTTCCCTCCACATGCACCTCCTCAGCAGCCTTCTCCGCAGCTCTCCCCCTCCCCTTTCCCTCCCCATGCACCTCCTCAGCAGCCTTCTCCGCAGCTCTCCCCCTCCCCTTTCCCTCCACATGCACCTCCTCAGCAGCCTTCTCCGCAGCTCTCCCCCTCCCCTTTCCCTCCACATGCACCTCCTCAGCAGCCTTCTCCGCAGCTCTCCCCCTCCCCTTTCCCTCCCCATGCACCTCCTCAGCAGCCTTCTCCGCAGCTCTCCCCCTCCCCTTTCCCTCCACATGCACCTCCTCAGCAGCCTTCTCCGCAGCTCTCCCCCTCCCCTTTCCCTCCACATGCACCTCCTCAGCAGCCTTCTCCGCAGCTCTCCCCCTCCCCTTTCCCTCCACATGCACCTCCTCAGCAGCCTTCTCCGCAGCTCTCCCCCTCCCCTTTCCCTCCACATGCACCTCCTCAGCAGCCTTCTCCGCAGCTCTCCCCCTCCCCTTTCCCTCCACATGCACCTCCTCAGCAGCCTTCTCCGCAGCTCTCCCCCTCCCCTTTCCCTCCACATGCACCTCCTCAGCAGCCTTCTCCGCAGCTCTCCCCCTCCCCTTTCCCTCCACATGCACCTCCTCAGCAGCCTTCTCCGCAGCTCTCCCCCTCCCCTTTCCCTCCACATGCACCTCCTCAGCAGCCTTCTCCGCAGCTCTCCCCCTCCCCTTTCCCTCCACATGCACCTCCTCAGCAGCCTTCTCCGCAGCTCTCCCCCTCCCCTTTCCCTCCACATGCACCTCCTCAGCAGCCTTCTCCGCAGCTCTCCCCCTCCCCTTTCCCTCCACATGCACCTCCTCAGCAGCCTTCTCCGCAGCTCTCCCCCTCCCCTTTCCCTCCACATGCACCTCCTCAGCAGCCTTCTCCGCAGCTCTCCCCCTCCCCTTTCCCTCCACATGCACCTCCTCAGCAGCCTTCTCCGCAGCTCTCCCCCTCCCCTTTCCCTCCACATGCACCTCCTCAGCAGCCTTCTCCGCAGCTCTCCCCCTCCCCTTTCCCTCCACATGCACCTCCTCAGCAGCCTTCTCCGCAGCTCTCCCCCTCCCCTTTCCCTCCACATGCACCTCCTCAGCAGCCTTCTCCGCAGCTCTCCCCCTCCCCTTTCCCTCCACATGCACCTCCTCAGCAGCCTTCTCCGCAGCTCTCCCCCTCCCCTTTCCCTCCCCATGCACCTCCTCAGCAGCCTTCTCCGCAGCTCTCCCCCTCCCCTTTCCCTCCACATGCACCTCCTCAGCAGCCTTCTCCGCAGCTCTCCCCCTCCCCTTTCCCTCCACATGCACCTCCTCAGCAGCCTTCTCCGCAGCTCTCCCCCTCCCCTTTCCCTCCCCATGCACCTCCTCAGCAGCCTTCTCCGCAGCTCTCCCCCTCCCCTTTCCCTCCACATGCACCTCCTCAGCAGCCTTCTCCGCAGCTCTCCCCCTCCCCTTTCCCTCCACATGCACCTCCTCAGCAGCCTTCTCCGCAGCTCTCCCCCTCCCCTTTCCCTCCACATGCACCTCCTCAGCAGCCTTCTCCGCAGCTCTCCCCCTCCCCTTTCCCTCCACATGCACCTCCTCAGCAGCCTTCTCCGCAGCTCTCCCCCTCCCCTTTCCCTCCACATGCACCTCCTCAGCAGCCTTCTCCGCAGCTCTCCCCCTCCCCTTTCCCTCCACATGCACCTCCTCAGCAGCCTTCTCCGCAGCTCTCCCCCTCCCCTTTCCCTCCCCATGCACCTCCTCAGCAGCCTTCTCCGCAGCTCTCCCCCTCCCCTTTCCCTCCACATGCACCTCCTCAGCAGCCTTCTCCGCAGCTCTCCCCCTCCCCTTTCCCTCCACATGCACCTCCTCAGCAGCCTTCTCCGCAGCTCTCCCCCTCCCCTTTCCCTCCACATGCACCTCCTCAGCAGCCTTCTCCGCAGCTCTCCCCCTCTCCTTTCCCTCCACATGCACCTCCTCAGCAGCCTTCTCCGCAGCTCTCCCCCTCCCCTTTCCCTCCACATGCACCTCCTCAGCAGCCTTCTCCGCAGCTCTCCCCCTCCCCTTTCCCTCCACATGCACCTCCTCAGCAGCCTTCTCCGCAGCTCTCCCCCTCCCCTTTCCCTCCACATGCACCTCCTCAGCAGCCTTCTCCGCAGCTCTCCCCCTCCCCTTTCCCTCCCCATGCACCTCCTCAGCAGCCTTCTCCGCAGCTCTCCCCCTCCCCTTTCCCTCCACATGCACCTCCTCAGCAGCCTTCTCCGCAGCTCTCCCCCTCCCCTTTCCCTCCCCATGCACCTCCTCAGCAGCCTTCTCCGCAGCTCTCCCCCTCCCCTTTCCCTCCACATGCACCTCCTCAGCAGCCTTCTCCGCAGCTCTCCCCCTCCCCTTTCCCTCCACATGCACCTCCTCAGCAGCCTTCTCCGCAGCTCTCCCCCTCCCCTTTCCCTCCACATGCACCTCCTCAGCAGCCTTCTCCGCAGCTCTCCCCCTCCCCTTTCCCTCCACATGCACCTCCTCAGCAGCCTTCTCCGCAGCTCTCCCCCTCCCCTTTCCCTCCACATGCACCTCCTCAGCAGCCTTCTCCGCAGCTCTCCCCCTCCCCTTTCCCTCCACATGCACCTCCTCAGCAGCCTTCTCCGCAGCTCTCCCCCTCCCCTTTCCCTCCACATGCACCTCCTCAGCAGCCTTCTCCGCAGCTCTCCCCCTCCCCTTTCCCTCCACATGCACCTCCTCAGCAGCCTTCTCCGCAGCTCTCCCCCTCCCCTTTCCCTCCACATGCACCTCCTCAGCAGCCTTCTCCGCAGCTCTCCCCCTCCCCTTTCCCTCCACATGCACCTCCTCAGCAGCCTTCTCCGCAGCTCTCCCCCTCCCCTTTCCCTCCACATGCACCTCCTCAGCAGCCTTCTCCGCAGCTCTCCCCCTCCCCTTTCCCTCCACATGCACCTCCTCAGCAGCCTTCTCCGCAGCTCTCCCCCTCCCCTTTCCCTCCACATGCACCTCCTCAGCAGCCTTCTCCGCAGCTCTCCCCCTCCCCTTTCCCTCCCCATGCACCTCCTCAGCAGCCTTCTCCGCAGCTCTCCCCCTCCCCTTTCCCTCCACATGCACCTCCTCAGCAGCCTTCTCCGCAGCTCTCCCCCTCCCCTTTCCCTCCACATGCACCTCCTCAGCAGCCTTCTCCGCAGCTCTCCCCCTCCCCTTTCCCTCCACATGCACCTCCTCAGCAGCCTTCTCCGCAGCTCTCCCCCTCCCCTTTCCCTCCACATGCACCTCCTCAGCAGCCTTCTCCGCAGCTCTCCCCCTCCCCTTTCCCTCCACATGCACCTCCTCAGCAGCCTTCTCCGCAGCTCTCCCCCTCCCCTTTCCCTCCCCATGCACCTCCTCAGCAGCCTTCTCCGCAGCTCTCCCCCTCCCCTTTCCCTCCCCATGCACCTCCTCAGCAGCCTTCTCCGCAGCTCTCCCCCTCCCCTTTCCCTCCACATGCACCTCCTCAGCAGCCTTCTCCGCAGCTCTCCCCCTCCCCTTTCCCTCCACATGCACCTCCTCAGCAGCCTTCTCCGCAGCTCTCCCCCTCCCCTTTCCCTCCACATGCACCTCCTCAGCAGCCTTCTCCGCAGCTCTCCCCCTCCCCTTTCCCTCCCCATGCACCTCCTCAGCAGCCTTCTCCGCAGCTCTCCCCCTCCCCTTTCCCTCCCCATGCACCTCCTCAGCAGCCTTCTCCGCAGCTCTCCCCCTCCCCTTTCCCTCCACATGCACCTCCTCAGCAGCCTTCTCCGCAGCTCTCCCCCTCCCCTTTCCCTCCACATGCACCTCCTCAGCAGCCTTCTCCGCAGCTCTCCCCCTCCCCTTTCCCTCCACATGCACCTCCTCAGCAGCCTTCTCCGCAGCTCTCCCCCTCCCCTTTCCCTCCACATGCACCTCCTCAGCAGCCTTCTCCGCAGCTCTCCCCCTCCCCTTTCCCTCCCCATGCACCTCCTCAGCAGCCTTCTCCGCAGCTCTCCCCCTCCCCTTTCCCTCCACATGCACCTCCTCAGCAGCCTTCTCCGCAGCTCTCCCCCTCCCCTTTCCCTCCACATGCACCTCCTCAGCAGCCTTCTCCGCAGCTCTCCCCCTCCCCTTTCCCTCCACATGCACCTCCTCAGCAGCCTTCTCCGCAGCTCTCCCCCTCCCCTTTCCCTCCACATGCACCTCCTCAGCAGCCTTCTCCGCAGCTCTCCCCCTCCCCTTTCCCTCCACATGCACCTCCTCAGCAGCCTTCTCCGCAGCTCTCCCCCTCCCCTTTCCCTCCACATGCACCTCCTCAGCAGCCTTCTCCGCAGCTCTCCCCCTCCCCTTTCCCTCCACATGCACCTCCTCAGCAGCCTTCTCCGCAGCTCTCCCCCTCCCCTTTCCCTCCACATGCACCTCCTCAGCAGCCTTCTCCGCAGCTCTCCCCCTCCCCTTTCCCTCCACATGCACCTCCTCAGCAGCCTTCTCCGCAGCTCTCCCCCTCCCCTTTCCCTCCACATGCACCTCCTCAGCAGCCTTCTCCGCAGCTCTCCCCCTCCCCTTTCCCTCCCCATGCACCTCCTCAGCAGCCTTCTCCGCAGCTCTCCCCCTCCCCTTTCCCTCCACATGCACCTCCTCAGCAGCCTTCTCCGCAGCTCTCCCCCTCCCCTTTCCCTCCACATGCACCTCCTCAGCAGCCTTCTCCGCAGCTCTCCCCCTCCCCTTTCCCTCCACATGCACCTCCTCAGCAGCCTTCTCCGCAGCTCTCCCCCTCCCCTTTCCCTCCACATGCACCTCCTCAGCAGCCTTCTCCGCAGCTCTCCCCCTCCCCTTTCCCTCCACATGCACCTCCTCAGCAGCCTTCTCCGCAGCTCTCCCCCTCCCCTTTCCCTCCACATGCACCTCCTCAGCAGCCTTCTCCGCAGCTCTCCCCCTCCCCTTTCCCTCCCCATGCACCTCCTCAGCAGCCTTCTCCGCAGCTCTCCCCCTCCCCTTTCCCTCCCCATGCACCTCCTCAGCAGCCTTCTCCGCAGCTCTCCCCCTCCCCTTTCCCTCCACATGCACCTCCTCAGCAGCCTTCTCCGCAGCTCTCCCCCTCCCCTTTCCCTCCACATGCACCTCCTCAGCAGCCTTCTCCGCAGCTCTCCCCCTCCCCTTTCCCTCCACATGCACCTCCTCAGCAGCCTTCTCCGCAGCTCTCCCCCTCCCCTTTCCCTCCACATGCACCTCCTCAGCAGCCTTCTCCGCAGCTCTCCCCCTCCCCTTTCCCTCCCCATGCACCTCCTCAGCAGCCTTCTCCGCAGCTCTCCCCCTCCCCTTTCCCTCCACATGCACCTCCTCAGCAGCCTTCTCCGCAGCTCTCCCCCTCCCCTTTCCCTCCACATGCACCTCCTCAGCAGCCTTCTCCGCAGCTCTCCCCCTCCCCTTTCCCTCCACATGCACCTCCTCAGCAGCCTTCTCCGCAGCTCTCCCCCTCCCCTTTCCCTCCACATGCACCTCCTCAGCAGCCTTCTCCGCAGCTCTCCCCCTCCCCTTTCCCTCCACATGCACCTCCTCAGCAGCCTTCTCCGCAGCTCTCCCCCTCCCCTTTCCCTCCACATGCACCTCCTCAGCAGCCTTCTCCGCAGCTCTCCCCCTCCCCTTTCCCTCCACATGCACCTCCTCAGCAGCCTTCTCCGCAGCTCTCCCCCTCCCCTTTCCCTCCACATGCACCTCCTCAGCAGCCTTCTCCGCAGCTCTCCCCCTCCCCTTTCCCTCCACATGCACCTCCTCAGCAGCCTTCTCCGCAGCTCTCCCCCTCCCCTTTCCCTCCCCATGCACCTCCTCAGCAGCCTTCTCCGCAGCTCTCCCCCTCCCCTTTCCCTCCCCATGCACCTCCTCAGCAGCCTTCTCCGCAGCTCTCCCCCTCCCCTTTCCCTCCACATGCACCTCCTCAGCAGCCTTCTCCGCAGCTCTCCCCCTCCCCTTTCCCTCCACATGCACCTCCTCAGCAGCCTTCTCCGCAGCTCTCCCCCTCCCCTTTCCCTCCACATGCACCTCCTCAGCAGCCTTCTCCGCAGCTCTCCCCCTCCCCTTTCCCTCCACATGCACCTCCTCAGCAGCCTTCTCCGCAGCTCTCCCCCTCCCCTTTCCCTCCACATGCACCTCCTCAGCAGCCTTCTCCGCAGCTCTCCCCCTCCCCTTTCCCTCCACATGCACCTCCTCAGCAGCCTTCTCCGCAGCTCTCCCCCTCCCCTTTCCCTCCACATGCACCTCCTCAGCAGCCTTCTCCGCAGCTCTCCCCCTCCCCTTTCCCTCCACATGCACCTCCTCAGCAGCCTTCTCCGCAGCTCTCCCCCTCCCCTTTCCCTCCACATGCACCTCCTCAGCAGCCTTCTCCGCAGCTCTCCCCCTCCCCTTTCCCTCCCCATGCACCTCCTCAGCAGCCTTCTCCGCAGCTCTCCCCCTCCCCTTTCCCTCCCCATGCACCTCCTCAGCAGCCTTCTCCGCAGCTCTCCCCCTCCCCTTTCCCTCCACATGCACCTCCTCAGCAGCCTTCTCCGCAGCTCTCCCCCTCCCCTTTCCCTCCACATGCACCTCCTCAGCAGCCTTCTCCGCAGCTCTCCCCCTCCCCTTTCCCTCCACATGCACCTCCTCAGCAGCCTTCTCCGCAGCTCTCCCCCTCCCCTTTCCCTCCCCATGCACCTCCTCAGCAGCCTTCTCCGCAGCTCTCCCCCTCCCCTTTCCCTCCCCATGCACCTCCTCAGCAGCCTTCTCCGCAGCTCTCCCCCTCCCCTTTCCCTCCCCATGCACCTCCTCAGCAGCCTTCTCCGCAGCTCTCCCCCTCCCCTTTCCCTCCACATGCACCTCCTCAGCAGCCTTCTCCGCAGCTCTCCCCCTCCCCTTTCCCTCCCCATGCACCTCCTCAGCAGCCTTCTCCGCAGCTCTCCCCCTCCCCTTTCCCTCCACATGCACCTCCTCAGCAGCCTTCTCCGCAGCTCTCCCCCTCCCCTTTCCCTCCCCATGCACCTCCTCAGCAGCCTTCTCCGCAGCTCTCCCCCTCCCCTTTCCCTCCACATGCACCTCCTCAGCAGCCTTCTCCGCAGCTCTCCCCCTCCCCTTTCCCTCCACATGCACCTCCTCAGCAGCCTTCTCCGCAGCTCTCCCCCTCCCCTTTCCCTCCCCATGCACCTCCTCAGCAGCCTTCTCCGCAGCTCTCCCCCTCCCCTTTCCCTCCCCATGCACCTCCTCAGCAGCCTTCTCCGCAGCTCTCCCCCTCCCCTTTCCCTCCACATGCACCTCCTCAGCAGCCTTCTCCGCAGCTCTCCCCCTCCCCTTTCCCTCCACATGCACCTCCTCAGCAGCCTTCTCCGCAGCTCTCCCCCTCCCCTTTCCCTCCACATGCACCTCCTCAGCAGCCTTCTCCGCAGCTCTCCCCCTCCCCTTTCCCTCCCCATGCACCTCCTCAGCAGCCTTCTCCGCAGCTCTCCCCCTCCCCTTTCCCTCCCCATGCACCTCCTCAGCAGCCTTCTCCGCAGCTCTCCCCCTCCCCTTTCCCTCCCCATGCACCTCCTCAGCAGCCTTCTCCGCAGCTCTCCCCCTCCCCTTTCCCTCCACATGCACCTCCTCAGCAGCCTTCTCCGCAGCTCTCCCCCTCCCCTTTCCCTCCCCATGCACCTCCTCAGCAGCCTTCTCCGCAGCTCTCCCCCTCCCCTTTCCCTCCCCATGCACCTCCTCAGCAGCCTTCTCCGCAGCTCTCCCCCTCCCCTTTCCCTCCCCATGCACCTCCTCAGCAGCCTTCTCCATGCGCCTTCTCCAGCCCTCCCCTCTGCATGCGCCTTCTCCAGCCCGCCTGACAGCACATGCTGCACAAAGAACCCAAACCCTTCCTTCAAGTCTGCACTCTCCTTCACCCCCAGCACCTGCACCAGCACGGAAGCAAAGTTGTCACTCTCCTTCTGCCTGCTCGCCCCCAGCTCAGCAGCGATTGCTGGCCAAGCAGACAAATGCGCGTCCAAGTGAGCTTTCCACAGAGTCACAAGACCGGAAGATTTCGCTACAAGAAGGAGGAACGTCGAGAAGCTGACAGCACGGCGGTAGGCAGCCCAGCAGCTGCTGCAGCGCCAGCAGCAGGACCAGGCTGGAGCAGCAGCAGGGGCAGCAGCATCGGCCGCAACAGGGCCAGCAGGAGCAGGAGATGAGACATCAGCAGCTGGTGCAGCTGTTGTAGAAGACAATATAGCAGGCAGGCGAGATCTGATTTTTCCCAGGTCCATGAGCAACCCCACACGAGGCTCAGCCATCCACTCGAGAAGCATGGCTTCCGCACAAAGGCGAGGCGCCATCCCTGACTTCCGCGCAGACTGACTCTGATGGGAAGCTCCATGTTGCTCTCGTACAGCCTGCTCCAGTACCCCTTTAGCGGAGTCAAAAGCGGCCTGATTGTGCTGCTGCTGCTCCTTGGCAGCTGCGGGGATGGAACGAGGCTGCAGCCTGCGCAGGTGGCAACGCAACTCCTCAAGGTCCTTCATCGCAAGAGCTCGCTGTGCTCGCTGGCTCACTGCCCGGTCAAAGCAGCACGCGCACAGATCCTCATTCCACTTGTTTGTCACGTCCAAGTAGTGAACCATGCCGGCATGAGATAGCAGCTGGCACGGCTTTGGACTGTCCTCCGCCCTTGCTTCCTCCGCCCTTGCTTCCTCCGCCCTTGCTTCCTCCGCCCTTGCTTCCTCCGCCCTTGCTTCCTCCGCCCTTGCTTCCTCCGCCCTTGCTTCCTCCGCCCTTGCTTCCTCCGCCCTTGCTTCCTCCGCCCTTGCTTCCCCTGCTGCCCCTCCGTTGGCCTCATCAAGCTGACCTCGTTGACTCTGACAGGTCTGGACTGCAGAACTTACTTCCCTCTGCAGCACCTTAAGCGTTCCCAACTGCTCTTCCAATTCTTTAACGGACCGTAACAAGCTTGTCTTTCCACCAGCAACTGCCTCCTCCTTTTTCGCTTCCACTTGCTGTGCTTCCCCACCGGCTGCTGCTGCAGTTAACTGTACCAGTCGAGCACTCTCGGTCTGGATTGTCAAGCACAACGCATCCACAATCTTGGACTGCTCTTTCAACTTCCGAAAAGTCTCTGCCAAGCGTTCACTGCTCACTAAGACCCCCTCATTCTCTTCCTTGCTATCGCCAGCACTAGAAGCATGGCGCTTCAGCTCTGCTCCAACAGTCCCTGACAGGACTCCTTTCTCCGGCTTTTGCCCCTCCTCCCCCTTGCTGCTGCCAGCATCAGAATCAAGGCACTTCAGCCCTGCTCTGTCCACCCCTGGTGAAGCTTCTCTCCTCGGTTTGTGCCCTTCGCCTTCCATGCAGCTCGGCTCGAGAGGGTCCAATTGGATGGTAAAAGCAGCAGCAGTTGCAACAGCAGGATTAGTAGGAGGAGGAAGCGAACCAGAAACAGCAGTTGCAGCATCAGGATTAGTAGGACAAAGCGAAGCAGAAACTGCAGTTGCAGCGGCAGGATTAGTAGGAGGAAGCGAAGCAGAAACTGCAGTTGCAGCAACAGGATTAGTAGGAGGAAGCGAAGCAGAAACTGCAGTTGCAGCGGCAGGATTAGTAGGAGGAAGCGAAGCAGAAACTGCTGTTGCAGATGCACGAGTTGGAAGATTTCCCAATTTCTCGACTTTCTCTACAACCTTCTTCCTTCGATTCTTCAAGGACGCCACATTGATAGTTGCACCCGCCCTAAGCTTGGCCTGCTCGACTGTCAAGTCAGGAGAAAGGCACACTTGCTGCCCAATAGCCATGAAACGAACCTCCTGCTTCCGATTTGCCAAGTCCTTATCAACCGCTGTCAACCCATCTTGAACTCCCTGCTGCTGATGTGTCTCGCATGGTAGGCAGCAGTTGGGCAGGTGGGACTGAAACAGTCGGTTGAAAACCGATGACAAAAGCTCGTCAGGAGCAACAGTAAGTGAAACACCCATGTGTGACGCCGATGTTTTGGTCCCAGAGCAACTGCCACTTCTAATATGATCGCAAGATCCACAGTCCATCAGACAAGCTGGGATTCTGAAGGTGACCTCAAAAGCCATGTCGGATGGTGCAGGACCGTTTTCAAAGGTGCTCACCATCATGGGAAGCCGCAACAAACGTACACCTTTCGCAGCACCTTCCTCCACATCCTTTTCCTTGCTACTGCCAGCATCAGAATCACGGCACCTCTGCACTGCTCCGCCAATCCCTGACAAGACTCCTCTCTTCGGCTTGGTACCTTCGTCGCCCTTGCTGCTAGGGTTGATAGGGACCAATCCGCTGGGCAAAACAGCAGGCGTAGCAGCAGAATTCGAAAGAGGAAGATTAGAATGAAGTACACCACTAGCAGATTCAGCACCAGGAGCTTCCCCAATCTGCTCAACTTTCACCTCGCCCTTATCCCGTCGTTTCGCATGCACTTTTTTCAAGGAAGCCACGTTGATAGTTGCACCCGCGCTAAGCTTGGCTTGCTCAACGGTTAAGTCAGGAGAAAGGCACACTTGCTGCCCAACAGCCATGAAACGAACCTCCTGCTTCAAAATTTCAGAATTTTGCTCAACCAATTTCACCCCACCCTGTCCTCCCTGCTGCTGACGCGTATCGCATGGCAGGCAGCAGTTGTGCAGGTGGGACTGAAACAATCGGCTGAAAACTGATGACAGAAGCTCGTTGGGAGCAACAGTGAGAGAGACCGCCACTTGCGCTGCAGTCGGCTTACTCCCGAAGCTATTGCTACTCAAACTCTTGTCGCGATCCGTGACGGATCCAGCAGTCCCGCCACTTCCATTCGTACGGCCGTTAGATCCACAGGTGCTCAAACCAGCTGGGATGCTGAAAAAAACCTCGAGAGCCAACCACTGCCTTGAATTCATATCTGGCGCTTTCACTGCAGACGGAGAGGCCCGTAGTAGTACCCTCTCGCTGTCGATGACTGAAGCCCAACGATACTATCGGCACACTGTTCCATCCGTTTCACGAGGAACGTTGTCATCTGTTTGGACGCTTTTCGAACCTGGCGACGCTATGATGGGCTGAGTCAAGCGAGGCTTTTTTAACTGTGACTATCGTCTTGGGAGAGCTCGCCTTGGGAGAGCATGAGCCCATCCCATCAGATTCGGTCGTATGGGGGTGGATCAGTGCTTGGCGGTCCATTCTGATCGCATAACCTGCTTCCGCCATCCCAGAACCGTCGATGCGTCGTCTGAACACGTTGGATCTTGCCATGGAACGAAAGCACCTGTTTAATCAGAAACGTGACTGGGAAAGCGCGATCGGACCGTCGTTTCTGGACAAGTCTCGGGAATACTACCCTACGAGTGGCCTGCTGATGTAACCTAGATCGTCTCGAGAGGACCTAGATTGTTGTTCTGGGACCAGCTCTGATATTGCCATAAAACACAATTCTGTGATGAGACAGACTCGTCGAAGCCCAGAAGGTTGGATTTCAGATTCTGGTGTTGGCGAAGAGATTTCTTTTGGCAATTTGCGCTGGGCGGAAGCAAGCGAAGTGGCGAGGGACTTCAGCGATCGCCACACAAATATCGTACGATTGATGCTACAAAAACATATACATGTCTGTGTATGTATGTCATGAATGGCTTGACTATTCACTGCTTCTGGCTTCACCAGGAAGATCCGGCTTTCATCCGAACAAAGGCGGCTAACCCGCAGATGCTGGAAGTCTACTTTAAGGGTGTACCTGCTGACATTCCGCCGGAACTGGTCAAGGATGTGATGGTTGTCCATCAGTTGAAAGTACGCAAACGGTCCGCGTTCAGCGAGGGTCATTGCTTCCACCGCGTGCTACATCCGGTCACTGGTGCAGACACTGATAAGATCAAGGGTCTGGTGGTCCCGCACGCGGGGGACAAACATCGCTGGCGACACGAGTTTCGCCACCAGCTGCTTGGTGGAACGTCGCTGCTGGCCCACTACCCCTTGCTATCCTGCACGCTCTGTGGTGGACATCACTATGACAAGTTTCATGATGTCTATGTCACGGAGCGTCAGAATAACATAGGGAAGTGGAGTCTCACAGTGGGTCGGGTACACAGGATTAACGGTAACAGCCTCTTACAGTTTTGTTGTCGGGGTTATTCTTGCTGTCTCTTACCTTCCTCGGCTTCTGACCTCTTGCTTGCCTCTCGCAGCTGCTTCTCTCCGCACTTCTCCGCTTGTCACCCCTCTCCTCATGGATGCGGCCTTTGTTCTGATCTCGACGGGGAGCAACAGGGAGGAGTGGCTGTGCACCCAAGCCAGCTGCGGGAAAGCACACGGCAAATCCTTCATGACTGCTGCAGACCATGTCACCTCTGCAAGCCACCTGCTGGGGTTAGAGAAGCTGGGTGCTGCCACTCGTCTCTCCCTCGAGAAGCTGAATCTGAACACCATCCGCAAGGAGTACGGGATCTAAGTGATGATCTGGATCGACTTACCAGTGTCTCTTCGACTGTAGCCGTTGTTTGTTCTGTCATAGCCGTTGCATGTTTCACCAGCCTGTGGATGAGGGGAGGCTGCCAAGCAGTGATCAAATGAGTACAAAAAATCTTCTCACAGTAGCAGGCCTGAATGTGAACGGCCTGGGAGACGGGAACAAGCAACATCGTACGAAGAACTGGATCAGACAAGCAGCTGACATCACTATACTATCAGACTCTAGACTAGCAGATGACCACCCATACTGGAACTCTCTCAAACAGCCTAGGACCTTAGTTGCTTCACCAACTGCCAAGGCCGGGGGTGTAGCGCTGATCTGTCGCAGACAAGGCTTATCACTTCATAACATTCTGATTCACTCGTCAGGCCGACTGATCAAAGCTGATGTGCAACTTGACGCCTTCCACATCACCTTAGTAGTGGTGTACTTTCCGGCGGACGCGTCGGAGCGAAAAGCCTTCATCCGTCGGGTCCTGGGCCCAGTGGTTGACGGCGTACCACCTGGCGCTCACCTGCTTGTCCTCGGAGATCTAAATCTGGTGGAGGATCCGCTGCTGGACAGGACCTCCAGGAAAGGGACGACCAAAGAGAACGACGAGTTGTACCAGCGATGCAGTGCTTTTCGTTTATCGGATGCCTTTCGTGTTCTGCATCCCTTCAAACAGGAGTTCACTTTCTACTCACATGCCTGTCACCAGCTCGCGCATTGATCGTGCTCTCATCTCGCAGTCTCTGCTATCGCATGTTGAGCTCGCCTCCCACATCATGCCTGCTGACCCAATCTCGGACCACAGCTTCGCGATTAAGGTGGCCTTCAGGATGAGCACGCAAGTGCAGACGGGACCGGGCCTTTGGAGACTACCTGCATACATGGTGGGGAGACCGGGTGTCAGAAAGGTGATCGAAAGAGTGTCGAGTCAGATGGAGAAATCGGGCGACAATTACGAGCTGCTAATCGCGAGACTGAACGCGGGGCTCAAGGCTTACGCCAGGGAGGAGAGAAAGAGAGTTCGCGCCACGATGTCCTTCCTTCAACAGGCAGTTGCTGATCTGAAACAGGCGTGGCTGGGGGACCCGAGCTGTGTCCGGCTGAAAGACCTACTGGGTGAAAGGGAGCTCCAACTGAGAAGCTATCAGCAGTCGCGGCAGGAGAGAATGCACGTGATGGCCGGGATGAAGGAGGTGACGTTGGGTGAGATTGCATCACCTTTCCTATCTGCGAAGATTAAGGGCCGGAAGGAACGCACACAAATCACGGAGTTAAACGTGGGAGGCACTATGGTCAGTGACAATAAAAGCATTTTGGGTGCAGCTTCGCAGTACTACCGGCAGCTGTTTGGAACAGACAGACAGACGGTCTTATCTGAGTGGGAACCCCCGGCGGACAGAAGATTGTCGTCGGCAGTGGCGGAGTCGTTGACTGCCGAGTGGTCGGAGGAGGAGGTTAAGAGCGCGTTTCAGTCGATGACGAAAAACAAGGCTCCTGGCCGGGACGGCTTGCCAAAGGAGCTCTTTGAAGTGCATTGGGACATCCTGGGCAAACACTTCATGTCGCTGGTGAAAAACTTCTCGGACACGGCGTCCCTCCCAACCTCCACCAAGGACGCGGTGACCATCCTGCTACACAAGAAAGGGGGGAGGGATCAGCTGGAGAACTATCGCCCTATCACATTGCTCAGCTTCACCTACAAAGTGATAGCGCGGGTGGTAGCGGACAGGATGAAGAAAGTGCTCTCGGAGGTAGTCTCACCGGAGCAGTTTGGCTTCTTACCCAGAAGGAGGTTGTCGGACGCTGTGGGGCTGGTGGCGGACATTATCGAAGCGGCCAAAAATAAAGATAAAGATTGGTACCTCCTGCTCGTTGACTTCAGGAAGGCCTTCGACTCGGTGTCGAGGG